CATATTGACCATGCCAGCTTCTGCGACGAGACTCTTGTGATTAACTTGGATATCATCGTTACGATGAGGCAAGGGATCATTGTCATGATTGCTCTTTGGATCTTGATGAACGACGCCAAACTCATGTGTCTCACCCACTTGGAAGTCATATTGTGATAGCCAAAAGAAATCTTCTTCGTTAGGTTGTTCTAACCCTTGCGAGGGGATAGGCCTATAGATTCTGCCTTTACCGCTTCTATCCAACCCCAAGTAACACCAGCGTTGTGATCCATACTTCGATTTGGATATAATCAACAGTTGAATTGTTTTACTGCTTTCTGCCATGTCCAGAACGTAATTCACTTAGGAGTGTGGTAGCTAGATGAATGAAACGAAGTGAATCCCTCGAAAGGCTACAATATATGGATCAGTTGGTGGCAGCATTACTTTATGATTTAAAAGAGGGAGTTGCCCCTTACGTCACATGCCCAAAAATACTACAGACTGGCACTCCCATTGGCTGATTAGAGATCACGTGGTAGAAACTAATTTCAATGTTGACAAAACGGGAACAATCAGTATCGTCTTGACCGCTTGGAAAAGTACTTCACGTGATCAGTTCGTACTCATAGTAGCGCGTGGTTTGTGGCACGATCGCGAATCCAGTCCATGTGAACGAGAGACTGGCAAACCAACCTTATATTTATAGCCCCCCCATGATAGGGAAATGGTGTTGGAAATATAAAATTCACTCTTGTCTTCTACCAAAACATATTGCGACCACTGCGACCTTCTATTCAATTAATTTTTGACATAAATAACAGTCTTATTATTATTACGTACCTTCTATATCAAGAAGATAAAGGTGCTCCAAATGAATAAAAACTGGATGAGGTGTGTTAGGAATTAAACCCTATCATGTTTACTGGAAAGACTGTATAAAAAAGAAACCCGCAAAACAGCAGAGAATTACAGCGTCACAAACATTTTGGGATCCCTGTTATTATTGTCCTTTTTTCAATGGCTTTTTATTTCCAAGAAATGAAGTAGGGAGAATACGGCATCTTATCAATTCCAAGAAGCACGACTACAAA